TAAATATTAACATTTAACTCTAAATTCCGTATACTTTATTTAAGACGGTGTAGTGACCACTACGTTTTCACTCGGTAATCTTTGTGCTTTATGAAGAGTGAATGTAAAAACCGAGGTTTTAAAATTATTCATTATTGCACGAAATATTTAAAAAAAAAATTGCTCTGTAAGTTCAAATGCACATACGTTATCGACGCGTAAAAGAAAAGACTTTTGCTTTTTAGTAAAAGTCTACTCACATATTTGACGGGACTATTGTTAGGCCTGGTGCGAAATATTTTGGCTCTCTTTCGCTGACGGCGGAAGCATTGGACGCATATTCGAGCGGGAAAAAGAAGCTGCGTCAGGACTGTGGGTCTGTGAGAGTGTCGTGGGGGAGGCGGGAAGGGGAAGCAGGAGCGGCCCTTGCTTGGAAGAAAGTGGCCATAGCGTGTCTGGCCGAGTTATGGAGAGAGCTCGACCGACTACTAGGGAAAAAAATATGTTTCCCGAGTGACACAAAACGTGCCAACGATACAATACGGGGGCAATGATTTACCGGGAGGCCAAGGCCTTTTTTTTTTTTTTGTTCTGCAGAATATAGTCATAGACATAAACCTAACGATTATTTACTTTTTTTGCGTGCGCGTGTGCCAAAGCAACAGTACGTGCGCAAAGGATGAGATGCAAAAATTATTATAGGAAACTTTAAATCACATTGGCTCACACAACACCAACATCGTATTTCAGAAGACGCGTGTCGTCGCAACATTTCTAATTCGCCACACGTGGCCGTGCGCACGCACGTGACGTGGCGTGGCGTGGCCCGGGGGAGGCCCGGGGGATGTATCGCGGGCCCTGATATATTGGCGCAGACACGGTGTATTTATGCCTGGCGGGGCCGCGGTGGTGGGGGCGGGCCAGGTGTTGGTGTTGGATGCCCCCCCATTCTACCCCTCCCAAAACCTCCTCCTCCTCCTGCTCCTACTTCCTCCGACGACTCGGCTTTCGACAAAATATCTATTACACTCCTGAGGCTTTGTTTAGTGATCCACCGCTCCCTCTCCGCAGCCCTCGCCACCACCACCACCGGGCTGGGAGTCCAACCATGCCCACCGCCACACCAGCGGCACCGCGGAGTGCAAAAAATATATATATCTGCGCAATCCGGGTCTAAAGCCACGAGCATAAATTGTGTTGCCAGAAGAAAAGGGGATGAGGTGGGGAGGTGGGGCGGGGGCTGAGGACCCGCGCCGCCGAGGAGTCGCGCGGCCCGGCGTGTGGCGTGCGAAGCCTGTGTCGACATTAAATTTTCTCTTACCCCCAAGAAAACGCGTTTCGCCCCACCTACTTGCGGAATCATCTTTACCCCCTTCGAGATCCGGAAGGGGGGGGGGGGGCGGCTGCCGCGACTGGGCCCGGGGGGGGCCCCCCCCCCCCCCCCCCTCCCTTGCAGCCTGGCCTTGCACGCCCCGGCCAGGCACTCATCCTCTGTCTGCTGTTGCTGCTGCTGTTGAGGCTTTGTTTGCTATGCAAAACAATATCCTCTTTTGCGCTGCCTTTTGCTCTCCCTCCTTTTTCCTCTTTTCATCCCCGCCCCCTGCTCACGCTGCTTTGCGCGCTGTCCCTGCAGGAGGGGCGATGGCGCCTTGCGGGGCCCTACCGGGCAGGGTGAGGGGCGCGGCGGGCCCGGCGGAGGAGCCGGCTGCAAATCCGTAAATCCGGACCGCTGATGCAGGCTATGCTGCCTTATTGAATTGGGGCCGTGACATACAGCACGTCACGCTCTTGTGGAGAGTGACCTCGTCTCCCCCTCTCCATCCACTCTCACATTACGGTCATGTGGAGTGGAGAGTGACCTGCTCGTCTCCCTCTCCATCTACTCTCACATTACGCTCATGTGGAGAGTGACCTCATCGTCTCCCCCTCTCCATCCACTCTCACATTACGGTCATGTGGAGTGGAGAGTGACCTGCTCGTCTCCCTCTCCATCTACTCTCACATTACGCTCATGTTGAGAGTGACCTCATCTCCCCCTCTCCATCCACTCTCACATTACGGCCATGTGGAGAGTGACCTCGTCTCCCTCTCCATCCGCTCTCACATTACCGTCATGCGGAGAGTGACCTCGTCTGTTCTCCACGCACTCGTGCATTACGCTCATGTGTATGGCGAGTGACCATGTCTCCCACCCATCAACGCTCACATTATCAAACTCATGAGGAGCGTGACCTAGTCTCCACACTACCTCCCTCTCACGTCACGTTCACGCTCTGACGTCGGGACTCTCACACTCGCTCGAATATACGACAAGGCTCGCCGGAGGAGGGGGGGGGGAGGGGGCGCAAGGGCGCGTGTATACAGCGAGCGGACATGCACTGAGGTGACGAACCGCTTGTGTGCCTGTGTGACGACGGCGCGACGAACGAATCGACACCTTTGCTGCTCGCAAGGCTCAAGTAAGAGCGCAGCTCTTGTTCGGGACAAACAGCAGCAGCACCCTTTTGTTGTGTGTGTTTTTTCGTCTGCCGCCGTGCACCGGTCTCACAATGGCCGCCGCGGCGCTGAAAAGGGCGCTATGGCAGCGAGACCCGCAGCGTCACCCGGCGCGGCGGCAGCCGGCCCCTGCTGCAGGTACAAGCTCGGGCCCTGCCGCTCAGTGGTGTCCTCATCCATATTTAACGCTTATGTTAAGCGGGAAAAAGGCGGTGTGACAAGACGCGACGATGGCGAAGGCGACGGCGGACGACTACGTCTCGCTCTGGGGGTGGGCCAGGCGTTTAACAGGGTGGAAAGGGAAGGACAGTCGGCGCTGCGCAACCCGGCGCCGACAGACATCAACTACTGCCTCTGAGAGGTCGGACAAGGACACAGATTACGTCACTTTTAAGGGTGCGGGGCACTTTTTCCTCGTGGCCCTTTAGAAACTAAGTTGAGGGCGGACATTTAATACATTCAAAATGCCATGATTAACTCAAGTCCGGACAAATAATATAGATTCAAACATTCAACAAGAAATGTATTCACGCTCTAATAACCCCTCTCCCCCCGAAGAAGATGCATAGCCGCACTAAATGCGATAACAAACTTTTTAAAAAAAGGATTTTTTTTTTGTTTGCAGCCACTAACATTTTTATGCTGGATCGAACAATGTTTGATAGTAGTAATTGATGGTCAGGCGGAGTATGTCAAAGGTTTAACGGAGTGCAACCCGACAAATATTCTGAGTGCAACCTGTACGTACACTCAGAAACTTTAATACACGTGAGTTCAAACAAACAAACATGCCATCGAGTGAAAGGTATCCCCGAGGTGCCCGAGGCCACCCCCCAAAAATGATGTCAGCGGATCCGCCTAATCCAAGCCAGCAAGGTTCAGCCGCAAGAGCTCCAAACTCCAAACTTGTTTTGCCCGTCATTTCCCCGCCTTCCTGGCGGCCCCGCTGCGGTGCTCTTTGGCGATGAATCACCGCCCCGTGGATGGAGTTGGTCGGCGACGACTCCGCGCTGCTCCGCGGCCAGGGCGCGCCGCTGCCGCTAAAAGGCGTCGTCTGTTCTAATTGAGTAATGGGGCCAGACAAGAAGTCGCTGTGTGTCACGCAAACGTGGGGATGGGGCTCGAGTTGGCGTGTTTATAAATACGAAATATTTTTTTTTAAATTAAATTATTGTTATCGTGCACGTTGCGCTCCGCGCCACTCTCACGCTGCTGCCGCGGCCCTACTCCCTCCTTTCTTCCCCCCATTCTTCACCTCTCTCGTCCCCCGCACTTGAAATGAAAAATAACTCTCTTTTTTTTTCGAGTTGCTGCTGCCGCTGCACTTGGCTTACCTCTTCCGTACCTATGCGCGGCTCAAAGCGCACTCTCCGACTCGCTCTTCTTTTCTCTCCCCCGTCCCAGTTCTTCCTTTTTTTTATTTTACTTTTCGCTCTCCCTCGATATGGCAGCGGTGCAGAGTTACAAGACAAACGGCCTCGTGCAGCAGCACTCCTCACCCTCCACATTCACATTGCTCTTCTCTCGCTCCCTCTTCCTCTCCCCGTCTCTCTCGTCCCCGCCTTGCTGACATTCTGTCACCTTAAAGCGATGACGCCGCGAGCCCTGTGACAAATATCCTTATCGTCCACGCGCTTTGAGGAGTGGCGGAGTGAGGCGGCGACGATGTTACACGCTGATGCCTCCCGGAGAACGAGGTGGAGTGACGCGTTGGCGTCACGACCCAGCCCGACGCCGTCTCTCTTTTTTTGGTGTTCCTCCCTCGTTTATCTCCTCTCATTGAGATGTACCCGAGGAAATACCCATGTATTTTAAAAATTAATTGAAACGATCAAAATAAATTTGTGTTGTGAAAATGAAAGGCAACAGTAAAGGCCAGACCGTACCTGACCTAAACTCACCGAAGTTTTAAACAATCTCGGAGACTTCACGAAAAAGTTGGTACGGAATTGGATTAAATTCCAAAGTCCTCTTGCGAATTCCCCCAAAAAACTTGAGGTCGAATCATCGGCAAACAACCCCAACAGATAGTTTTTCAACAGAGTGTGATGACGTCATCTCAAAATACGCCAAGCGGTCCAAGCAAGGCAGAGGGGAATCGTCTATGCTGCGGCGGGGTCGCTTTGAGCTTGAGACGAGACGCGCGCCCCGTTGCCACTGCCAGTGCCACTGCCCAGTGGGCAGCCAGCCTATCCCTGTGGGCTCGGGTCACGGTGATCAACCGGCCATGAGCGGGCTTTGTGTGGTCAGGGCGCTCTCGCGTTCTCTCTCGCTTCCCGCTCTCTCCAAACAAGGACTCCCTCTCCTCGTCTGTGCCCCCGCCCGCGGGCCCCAGTGGAGACCGCATCCACCCTCGTCCTGGTCTGTTGACCTCCAACGGGCCGTTCTCTGTCGTCGGCCCCTTTCTATGAGAATGGGCACTTGCTCGTTTAGAATGCAGTAGCTCAAGACCGCGCGGCTGATGGTATTTGTGTTTCTATTGGTTGGTATCGAGTAAACATTGTGGCTTGTGTTTCTGTTTGCAGCGCCGCTGTTGCTGTTGATGCTGCTGCTGCTCCCCACCTGCAGGCCGCTGGGTAAGTCTCCTAGTTCTCGCATTCTCTCCCCCCCCCTCCCTTTCTCCCCCTCGCCGCTTAACCCTGTGCGATTGAGTGGCGCTGCCAAGGAGCCGCCCGCCGCCGTTAAGCGGCCCAATTACTGGCCGTTATGTAAATACATTTTGACGCTTCTGTGATTGCGGTTTGATATGCAGATTGAAAATTACGAGCAATTTCCATGCGATTTGCCGCCGCTCGCGTGAATTGTGTGGCGTCCCCCCCGGAAGCGTCGCGCGTGGCTTGCGGAGTGCGCTTCGGGCTGGAGAGGGAGGGAGGGAGCGGGAGGGGGCCGCTCCCTCCTCGCCCCAATCTACCTCTCGCTTTGATTGGCTGCAGTCTACTAATTCATTATCCCCCGACGTTCTCCGGGGAGCGAATCGTTTCTATATATGACGCGCTGTGAGCGCCGCCGCGCAAACTTTCGTATTGCGAAATAAGTTTCCAATGATAAATAATTAGAGGCGCTTGCTGGAGCAGGAATCCGTCGACACTTTCTTGAAGCGAAGTCGTCTTGCTGCGTTTGAAACAACTCCCACCCCTCGCGTCCCCCTCCTCCAATCTCCTGCTCCATGAACGCCTCGGCGCTGCACCGCCCTACACGGACCATGCCTCTTCCTCCCCTCCCTCAGCAGTCCCCGGACCCGCCACATAAAGTTTGAAATCACTGTGGACCGTGGGCTGGGCACGCGTCAAGTTATGGCTGTCTGGGTGGGCGTAAAACTCTCCCCCTCTGTTCCTACCGACCTCACCTCCACC